TGTTTTCAATTTTGTTCTTTTTTTTTTTTTTTGGTAAACTTTTAGCAACGGCTACCCACAGTGCGGCCGAAAAAAAAGAGGTAGTAAAAGGGAAAAAATAAAAGAAGGAAATGCTTATTGTGGTCGTTACAGGGATCCAACTGGTCCTGGAGAGGAGGGCGGCAGCTAATGGTAAATAACGATAAATAGAAGAGGAAAAAAAAAGTAGTAGAAAATTGCTTTGGCCAAAGGCAAAGTCAATGAGGCAATCCGCAGTCTGCAGTCTGCAAGTCCGGAGACCGAAAGCTTAGTCCGAGACCTGATTCGAGCCGGAGAGCACTTCACGGCACTGGCTGTTGGCTGCTGGCTGCTGGCTGCTGCTGGTCTGCCTCATTGCAAGTTACAACAAAAGCAAATTCTAGTGTGCTTAAAGCGTAAAATTGTATGTTATAAAATTCAATTGCAGTTTTTGTTGTTTCCGCTGCTGCTGCTTCTGCTGCTGCTGCTGCTCTTGGCCAAATGCAATCGGCTGACCAAGAGGAAACTTTGCAAGTCGAGAGTTGACTACTTTTGTCTTGCACCGAGATTTGCCCAAGTATAAACTATAAGTTTCCCCATCGCGGGGTCCCCGGTTCAACAAAAGCAACGAGTTCTTGCATATCTTGTTGGCAATTTCAGAAAATCAGAAATTCAGTACAAAAGAGGAATAAACAAAACGCAAATTGTTGGCTGAAACACGAGATTTAATCGGAGAGAACTTAGGAAGCATTGAAGGAAGCATTTTTCTGCCTCAATGCTGCAGCTATATCCGACTATGTTATACAATTTCTGTGGAAATGGTTGCGTTTTCCATCAGCGAGTCATGTGGCATATTACGTTTTATGGTGACGACTTTGTGGTGTCTGTAAGGAGTCAGGGGCATGAGGTGATTGCGACAGAAGCAGAAGCACGCAACCACCAAACCAAGCGGCACCCACTGCCTGGTGGCGTCATAAAAGTGCGTAAGCGGCAACAGGTTGCCAGGGGCGGTAGTTATACGAAATACTCCTTTGTCACAGCTACGGTGTAGCGTAGCGTCTCTGTTCTCACACGATACGTTTTCCACCGATGATTTATGAAACACGTATGAATGGCATCTTCTTTCGACAGAAGAAATTGCGTCGCTGCAATTGCTATCGTGCATGCAATATCAGCTTTTCCTATTCAACAGCTGTGCCTAGGTCTACGTCTATGCCTTCAGCTCTCTGCCTTTTCATACCTCTACTCCAGAGTCGATTTGAGTGTCTCTGTGCTCTCCTCGTTTGCTAACAAATTGCGCATATCAAATTTACGGAATTGTCTCTCCCAGCTCCCAGCCTTTTCCCTGAGTGCTCCTGAAATTTTAGCCAAGCCTCGACAAACTAATAGATTCCGTTGCCTTGGCGGCACTCATGTTCTGGAACTCTCTCGCTCTCTCTTCTCTGTGTGGCCATGTGTGTAAGTCAGTTTATGGCCAAAGTGTTTGGTAATGGCTGCAAATGGTAGGCGTTGCCAAAGACTGTCAGCTAATGCCACATTTCTGCGCTCCTTGTCCATATGCGAGCGTAAATACATATACATACGTACGAGTATATCTGTATGTATATTTTTACAAGCGCTTTGCGTGACAGGAGACGGGAGTCCCACATTTACATATCAGCGACATTAGAGCCGCCATATTAATGATTTTATAGTGTAATAACGCGTTATCACGCCGTCACTCACACACACAGACACAAACGCTGTCAGGGCCACCATAGATATGGCTAATTCATTTGTTTCTATTTTGCCCGGCTTTCCACTGGTTTTTCCTAGGCTTTTGTTTCGATTTTTGATTGAGTTGTTTTGCCATAATTCATGAGAACAAAACCATTCAGGCGCGTCTAAAATGCAAAAATGATATTGATATGGATTGCAATAATGTTGGCAGAGCTTTTTAAGAGGATATGGGCACTGGGGGATATTAGGGAGGGTGTATGTGTGTGTGGGTGTGGACTGGAGTTGAGTGGGTGTTTTTTTCCGAGGGAATATGCGGGCGTATATGCATTAATAAACATTTGATTTGTGATTTGTTGCGCTGCATTATGCAAATGTGTGTCGCGCATAAATTGTATAAATTATTTCGCTGTCTGCTGACTTAATTAAATGTTTAAATTTTTCGGAAAACCAACGAAAACAAAAAAAAACAAAAAGTACACCAAAAACACAAAGGAAAAAAAAACGAGTGAAAATCGGTTTTGGTTTGTCCGCCCGTAAAGGGAATAAATGAATGGCACTTAATGAGTTTAATGAATGGTTCGCCCCGTCAGCGGCTGAAAAGTGACAAAATTCAATAAATCAATATAAACACAAACTTTATTTCTGAATATATTATGAGCACGGTTAAAAAGTATCGCCTACATTTGGCAGGCTCTGAGAACCCGTTCACCCGGTCAGCGCCGGTAATGATAGATTTGGGCAGCTGGGGCATGTTGCACGTTTAAATTTATAAAGCAAAACAGGAAATTAAGCTAATGATTTTATCCTTTTTTTCATATAGATTACTGAGCAGCATTAAAAGGTTAATTGATGATGGTTTCAGCGAGATTAGAAGTATTTTATTTCTCGAATTTGGCCTAACGAAAAAGAAACCATAAATCTTGATGGAAATTACAAGGAAGTCACGTCTGTTTAGGGTAATCTTTTTTCAGAAAATTAAATATTAAGAAAAAGAGCTTTTCAAAACTGACTTAAACTCTAAAAGAGTTCATTTGAATATGCGAATGAAACAGTTGTGACACCAGACTGAAACTCCAGCAAAATACTAGTATTTGCACTTCATTTGCATTGAATCATTTTTCATCCAAGACTCAGCCTCTCAATGCACCACATCAAGCGCACTGTTAGACGAACCACTGCAATTGTTAATCATGTATAAAATCTACCAGAACCTAATGCAACTGGAACACAACCAGTTTAGTGAGAAGCACTGTTGTGGCATGGAGGCTAATGGCTAGACTCCTGCTCTTGTGTAAGCTAACCTTCCATTCATGCCACACACTCGTTCCTACTTATGAGTATCATTGTGAGCGCATTTGTTGCTGGAATTTGCTGTTCCACTTTTCCCCGCGGTTGTGCCATTGCCGATGTGGCACTGTGCTACTCTGTGCCGTTGCCAGGCTACAGCTGTGTCTGGATTGCTGCCTAATTCCTTTTGGCCCTGTTCACTCGAGTCCGCTAATTGCTATAACTTCCACTCTTCGGTTCGTTTCGTTTCGTTTCGTCCGTCTGGATATCTGTCCTTCCGAATGCCCCTTCTGTCCTTTCGTACGGCCGCCTGTCTGCTTTTCTCTGGCTATAGTATGTTGATTGCGTTGAAAATAAATGAGTTTTCATGCTAACCGAGCAAAAGTTGTGCCAATTATAATGCCTGGGTTCCTGGGTATCGCGTCTGGTGCTTACGGTGGAAAAGTTTCGGCCTTTGTCTAGTTTATATAATACCATTGCCATTTAGCATAAGAACCAAATGAATTGCTTTACAAATTGAATGCGAATTTGCGTCCTCATTATGATCATCATTCAACATCATTCAAAACATGGCAACAGGAGGAAATACGAAAGAAAACCCAGCGTAAAATGCACAAAATTCCATAATCTAAAACCGGAAAATACAGACAGAGGCGGCAGCCTCATCTTGCAACCTGATGCGTTGCGATTTTAGCATTTGTTGAATCATCTCCAACTAGATGAGTCGACTCGAGAGTGTTTTTGTGGGCAAGGGGTTTCGGGTGAAATTATTACGAAACATTTCTCGCTTTTAATCAGAGTCTCCGACTGCCACGATGATAAATGTTCCCCTGGCGCCACAGCAGGCACCAACCAACAGAAGGTGGAATCAACAGAAAACCAGGTCGGGGTCGAGGCAAGGAAATATTCATAATTCAATGCTTAAACCGCAATTCATGTTCGCGTTTTTTGGCTGCTCCAACCCCCAACCCCTAACCCCCACTGCTGCCAGTTTTAGCCAGTTTTTTGCTTCCCATTAATAGCGTTCTGCAGTTGGCGCCGCTGCAACGTCAGATTTACCTGCGAGGTAAACCTTAAAAACGCTTTTTCATTTTCATAAATGTTTGGCTTTTGGCTGAAAATGTAGCCCCACGCTACGGAGGTTCGCACTCCCTTCTGAACACTTGCCCACTCAGTTCGCCCCTTGACAGACCCCAGTTGATCTGCATATTTTACTCGACCTCTTGGCCCAAGGCTTGAGCGTTGTTTTTATACCCCGTGCTTTGGGGGCATGTTGTTTTTACATTCAGATTGGCGATCAAGTAGATTAAAAGATAAACTGCCGACTCCGTCTCGACTAAGCTACTTCCCAGCTATAATACTACGAAACAAACTCCCTTTCAAACTCTTCATGTTATATGTACTCTAAATGATGTCCAAGGTGTCTGATAGCCCATACGGTCTTTGCCTTGTTCTCATTTTGAATAGGCTCAAACAACCTCCAAGTCCAACTCTGCCCTCACATCCCCCATCAACCCCATTGTACGAGTGCATTCCCCTTGCTTGTTGCCGCTGCCGCTGTTGTTGCTGCGGTTGATTCACTTTTTATGCAATAAAATTGAAATTAATTTTTAGTGATTGCGGATGCGGTGTTTCAGTTTCTGTTGCTGCTGTCTCATTCTCCTGTTGCTACCACGCCTGTGCTCCTGTTCCACCCACAGCCTCTGCTCCTGCTCCTGTTTCGGCCACAGCCGCTTATTCTGCCTCCGTTGCTGCCACAGCATTTACTTCTGCTCCACCCACCCGCTGCTCCAGCGGTTTTCACACTGTCCTGTTGCGGCTTCTGATTGAATTGTAAATTTTCTTGGTCCACCATACGAGCACATCAGGGCGGGCGAGAGTGGGCTGTGGGTAGCACCGATTCATGCATATTCATTCAATCAATTGTATTGTTGCCCCATTATTAATTGATAAAAATAATAATACTGTTGAACATTTTCCACTTTTGTCATTTTTAGGCCACACTTGTCGTCGATAGCAATTAAAACAGACGTCCGACCAGGCCAAATAGCCATCAGGTAATTAAATTTTCGTTTATTTATTTAGTTTTTATATCAATTATTACACTCAACAATTTGTTTGTCGATAATGAAGAGGCCTTCGCCTAATATTTATTCCAAATTAAATGGGGTTTTGTGCGTGGCTTAAATTTACCAAAAATTTACTCACAAATGGGAATATAAATGTACATACATATATACACGTACACTCATATCTGTGTGTCATTCATGTTGTGTTCATGTTCCTGACAAATGGGTCGGGGGACAAACTGACAGCAGTGGATGGATATTAACATGCTGCTATATATTAAGTGTATAGAAATCCATCCTGGGCCTGTGTTCAAAAGTGAATTTTCATGTCAATGTCTCGTTTGTCATTCAGCTAAACCGCACACTGCACAGCACGGTACCCACCTACATATACATATATGACAGTTTACAGAAAATATCATTTAGCGTATACTCACGCTCAAAATAATATTCATCCAATTAGCATGAAAAGTGGAAAACTGGACGCTGCCGCCTATAATTGAATGATGAACTTGGTCAATCATCTGTGGCTCTGTCCATCGTCTCATTATCGATGGCAGACAAATACGTTTTAAATGGCCCCGAGACAATGTGGCCTCGAACATTGAGCCTAATTTTTCCACAATTAACTCAATTAGCCAGCCACAAAACATTTCCCTCTGGCCCTGGGACTTGGTCAATAGTTTATACACTGGAAAAAATAGCTTTTTATATATATTTTATGTGCAAAGTTAAAGAATAAAGATCGCAAGCTATATTTGTGTGTTCTTAAAAGCAATACAATTGGCTGGTTTCGTTCAGTGTAATGTTGAGCGTACTTATATCCTTCAGAGCTAATAAATAGCTTCTCGTATAACCAGCATCTTTTGGACATTTGCCATTATTCATGGCCAGGAAATTGAAATGTGTGTTATGAGGCCTTCGCCCCTCCCAAAAAAAAAAACTAAAGCCACTTTGAGGTTGAGGTCCATTTCGAGTTGGCCAAAAATAAATTCGGTTAAAAGTGTCGTTTATCTTCGAAAAGTGGCTGCCCCTCAGCTCTTTGTAGGGGAGAAAGCAAAGAGCTTTCCGCCTTAATTAAAGGCAGCTGTTGTATCCTTAGTTATCGCTAAACTTTGACCAAGTTTTCTTTCACCCTTTGTTTTCACTTTCGACCTTAAGAAGGGGCATTTGTCCGTGACATTTTTCCGTCAATTGTTGTAAATGTTTTCGAGCTGTTTTTCCTGCTAACCGAAAGCGTTTGAAAATGGAATTTAATTATGATTGTCGTTGGGTCTTTGATCTAATTTCAATTCCGAAAATAGATCCTTTCCTCGTCTCAAACATGAAAGGATTTGCAGGACTATTATCCTGAAAACTAATACCATGAAAGTCTTATATTTGTTTGCAATAATAAGTGCAAAATAAACCAACATTTGACCAAAGATGCACTCACGAGCATATGAAATTTGAAATTTCCTGTGCATTTTGCAGCAGTAAATGCTCCTCTTATTTGTTTAGCAATTAGTTAAATCTATGCAAATATTATGCCCTTGGATAGCAGCCAACAAAAACATCCATCATTCAATCAATCAATCAATCAATCAGCTTGGGGTGGCAGACAATTTTGGTCAAACAAAAACAAGGACGAAAAACGTTGCCAAAGTGCAATTAAGGTCGAGAACTCAAGAGGCGCTTTTAGACCAATTCAGAGTAGTGTCCAATTACGCGACGGGGGGGAAAAAAACAATGTGAGAGAGACAGACCGTGTGTACTCAAATTTGCAATTCTGTGAAATGCGATCCACTGCGAAAAAAGCAAAAAAACAATGAAGAGACCGAATGAAATTGAAATGAACGGTGAGGGCAATAGGTTACAGATATGTATGTATGTACATATATAGAATCTATAGATTGATAGCAAGTGTTAAGAGTGAAGCAGCAGAGACGTTGAGAATGCGGCCCGCAGACGACATGAAAACGAATCAATACAATAACAAGGTGCTGCATGAGCGACCGAAAACCTGTTACATGGCGGAGCTTATCTCTACGCCCCTTGGACACAGGGAGCAGCTTTCAATTCTCTTTTCGGCTATGCTTCGTTTTTGACAGCTGCCCAACGGCTTCGTCCGTGCATGCATATGCATGCCTTACGCACAGTGGGGCCTTGGCCTACTTCAGCTTGCTAAATTAATGAGCGAATAAGGGTTTGAAACATTGTTGAAACAATTTACCACTTTAGGTGTATATATCATAAAATAAAATTATCTTTAAAATTAAATAAATTAAAACAAATCTTTTTTACATGCATTATTTTATTCAGAGCACTCATACAATTTTTTGACTTGTGCAACAGTTTTTTCTGCTGAGTCCCCACTGTGTCGCGCACATTCCATTGCACTGAAACTGTAGAATTTTAGAGCCTGTAAGAGAATCGAAGAAATAGCCCCGCGCGCCCATACCCACAAGCGTCAAACAAAAATTACATGGGCATTGTTTGTCTGCCTGCAGAGAGCGATCACAGAAATGCTCTTTTGGAATTGCCTCACCCTCATCTACTCGTACCATGGAACACTTAAGCCCTCAATCCTCCTCGCGAGTGGGTCGTTAATCAATTCAAAAGTGCAGCTGAAGACGGATCGGATCCCGCGCGTCGTTAGTGTTGTTTTAGTGCAGCAATTTATAATTCCCGACAATCTCTTTAATTAAGCGCGAAAGGAAAACTGCAAGCATTTTCCTCACCTTGCTTTTCGCACGGGAAAACTAATGTCAAATGTCAGCTGCTATTATTTCTGTGGCACCTCGGGGTAACTATTAACCATATTTCACATTTATTTTCTTCCTGTGCCACATTTTTTCACGAGCTTTTCTTGTGCTTCTTCTCTTGTTCTGTTGCCCCCTCCCCCACTGCATCGCAACTCCTTTCCCATCTCTCTCGTTCACCATCCAATGGGCGGGAGATTTTTTTTTTTTACAGTTTTCCACTTGATTTAGTACGCCGCAATGTTTTTATTAGTTGCGAAATATTTGCAGCTCGCTTTCTCCTGCTCATGCTCTTTGCTTTTTTTTCCGTTGTTTGCTGTTTGTTGTTTGCTGTTTTCTTTTGTTTTTGTTCTTGTTCTTGCTTTCTTTGTCGCCGTGTCGCTTTTTCTCCTTCCCTTGTCGCCCGCTTCTTCCTCTTTCATTGGTAATGTTCCCGTTTGTCGTTTGTGGTGCAATTATGTAGTTGTTGTTGTTTTCTTGCTGTTTATTTAGGGGATCTCTCTCTCTCTCTCTCTCTATTCGGCCTCCCTTTGCCCCCTTTGAATTTAAGCTAACGGTTAATGCCCGTACTCTTTCTTTTGTGTCTCCCCACCACTAATTGAGCCTGGCATTTTGTCCATTAATCAAATTGGATTCCAGCATTCGCTCTCTGCGACCATTAAACAACATCTCTTTCTGTCTTTGCGTCTGTCTGCCTTTGTGTATCTTCCTGTTGCTCTCATAATTCCGTTGGTTTGTTCCATCTGCATGTCTGAAGAGAGTGGAGAAATGTCTGAGTGGAGAGTTGGCACTTAATTAAAAGATTACTTGTGAAAACTTTTTGGCAGAAAACTTAGTGTGAGCAGAGTGCGAGGGGGGAGGGGCGTGGGGAAAGCGCAATGTTTGCTTAAGAACTTTAAATAAATAAAAGGAAATTGCAAAGCAAACACATTTGGGTACAAACACTCATACAACACACACACACACTCTATTTTCTCCTACTTTCTCTCACTCTCTTACATTGTCGACAAAATGGCAAACGTTGAACTTTGATGATTTATAACCCTTAAAGTGGTGCGGGGGGCGAGGCGTACTCCTTCGGTGCCTGAAGAGCATGAAGAGCATTCTTTGTAGCCACTCAAACACATACACTTACACTCAAACTAAACTCACTGTTAGCTACACTCTGCTACAGAGTTTCACATTTAATTTAGTACGTGTCACGCATACGCTTGCAGCTTGACAAATACGAACAGCCAAATAGAGCAGAGAGTGGGGGCGTGTGGGAGAAGAAAACGAGAAAAAATCAGATAGGGAGACAGAGATAACATGGCATGTGCACAAAAATTGAGTAGGTAAAGATCCCCCACCCCCCACCCCACACAAGGAAATTCATATCACTACAGTCCCCACCCCCCGCCTTGTGACTTTATTTGAAGGTTTTGATTATATTTAGAGACGAAGACTGAGGTAGAGCCGCAAATTATGGTAAACATAAATAAGCTTTAGGTCTCTCTCGCTTCCTCCTTCCATTTTTAATGTACTTTTATTTTATGTACTCGCAAAAGTTATACATTCCCCTCCTCCACTTAGTCCTTTTGCTGCATGTCGTCTGGTCCTCGGTCCTTGGGCTTTGGATAAACACAAATTTCCAAAGTTTAATTTAACGTTAATAATGTTATTTGTAATTTTTATGCTGTGCCCATTTCCCCATGTTTTCCTACTTTTTAATATGTTGTGTCAAGTGAGAGCTTCTAGGTCGAAGGTTTATATACCCTGTTATTTTTTATCACCAAATTTATTAAGTTCCATATTTTTTGTTGGCTTGAAGACAATTTTGACAAGCTAAAAAGAATGAGGGTAAAGTGCAAAAAAAAAATTTACTGGATTATCTTTACACATTCGAAAGTAAAACCCTTTGGAGGCACAGCTTAACTCTGGCTCAATGTTAAGATACCCTTTCCCTAGGGTATTCTTTGAATAATATAAAAAAATTATGTATGTATATTACAGGAGTTTTTGGCTGGCATTCAACTTTGAACTCAAAGCACTCACACACATGTATTTAATTATTAAGTTTACTTTTTGTGGGTGTGTGTGTGTGTGTGTGTGTGTGTGTGTGTGCCTGTGGCTTTTGTAGATTTAATTGGTTTTTTGATAAAAGTCAGCTAAGCATGCTAATTAATGTGGCTTTGACTTTGAATGCATGCATGTGCCTGGTGTGTAGAGTACTTAATGCTCAAGCCGGAATGGGGGGTTAACTTCTACCGATTTTTCCTTATGTTCAGCTCTAATCGGATATGGGAGACCCGGTGAGTACCAGGGGTGGGGGACTGGATGGCACTGCAAACAACAACAAAACAATGGAAAAGTGTACAAATATTTTGCAGCATTCAAACACAAACATAAGGGGAAAAGTTTTCTTTGGCTACATTCTCAAACCCCGAACAATACCCTCTCCTCTCCCTGTTCACCCCTCTCGCTGCTGCCACCACTTCTTGCAACACAACTTAAATAAATAAATTGTTTGGTTGCATCAAGGATATACGTATACGCAGTGTGGCAGCATGTCAACACAATAAATGCGAATGAAAATTGCAGCAAAAGTTTTCCTATTTTTGGCACACGATTCTCCAGGGGGTGGAGGTGGCGGTGACGTTGCCGGAGAAGTGGGATGATATGAGGGGGGTATCTTGTAATGTACAAAAAATAAGACCCCCGTGTCCAAGTTGCAAGCAGTAACGGCAGCTCGAGAGAGCAGCAACTGGAAAATAATTAAATTCCTAGAAGCAAGTTATAGACCCCAAGACTTTTTGCTCCTCCGGCATTCGGTTCGGTGGGTTGTGTCTTACGGCTCTAATTTCATGCAAAATGTTCTTGGTGGCGGCAACCACCCGCCCTGGCACCCGCCCACACACACACACACATACACTGTCTTTCTCTAGCTCAGTCTTTCTGTTGATGCCACTAAAAGTTATGCCCCCAACTTATTGCCGCTTTCCGCATGGCTTTTGTTTCCTTGGGCCTTCTGTGTGTCGTTGTTGTGTTGTGTGGTGCAATGTTTGCTTTTCTTACGGCTTGTCAGTGGCTCAGTGGCTCAGTGGAGCACTGCTGGGAATCATTTCGTTGCTGTCGCTGCCACTGCCACTGTCCCTGCTACTGCTGCTTCTTTTGCCGTTGCTGTTGCTGCAGTTTTCTTGCACATAGCGGAAGGAAATGAGCAAAAATGACAAAGTTAACGGATGTGCACAAAACACAACGCACTCTTACTCACACTTACTGCCCCATCTACTATTCCTCTTCTCCTTTCCTGTCGTCCTGTTCCTGGCGTTCCTGGGGTTCCTGGGGTTGCTCTCTCCCTTCCTGTCCTGTTCGGTGGTGCTCCTTTGTGCCTGCCCCAATGCACTTGCATCCAGGATCCAGGATATGTGTGCGGAAAGTACAAAATTGTACATGCATTTGATTTATGTTTCTCTGTTTCTGTTTCTGCCTCTGCCACACCACCATCCATGTCATTGGTTCAAGTCCCAAGCCACAGTGCCACACAGTGCCCGCCCCCTCCTCATGCTCCTGGTGGCAAGTAAGCAAATCATAGCCTACATTTCCGCTGTTGTTTATTTTGGTACATTTCTCTTTCTTTCCCTGTGTCTGAGGGGGGGCTGTCTCTGGGGACTGCACTTCACTTTACATCCTTGGATTACTCGCAAGTCGAAAAGTTTTTTGTCTTTTCCCCCACACAAAAAGGGGGACAGAACACGAAAAGTCGCTGTGTTTATTTAAATATTGAACTGCAATATTTATGGCTTTCGGGTGGGAGAGTATACCTCCTCTGTGTAGAACCCATCAGAATTATCAGACTCCTGTGATTGAGTAGTCAGTATAAGAGATACCAGAAACCACTCAGCATATGCAGAAATAATTTTATAAAGAGAGAATCAATTAAATACATCGAAATAGAACCACAAAACCTATAGAAAGGTTAACAGGTTTCCGTTTGAAAACGTGAACAAATAAAATTATACTTACAATCTTTTTTTCGCCCTGTTTTGTTTGGGTTCTCTCTTGTTGATTCACGTTTTGAAAAATTCCAAATACCAGCAGCATATCCCATAGCTAGATCCCACATTTTCATGCCTTTCACCAAACCCATTTCTGTGGCCTACGTCTCCTGGCCATCCCGTGTCAACAGGCAATTATTATAAAAGCCTGGGCTGGGGCTGCGGAGTTCTAGCACTGCTCTGGGATGCCAGTAGGACCACTCGGGTGCCCCGAAAAGGGGCCCGCTCGCCCGGTCAGGTACGCAGAGCGACAATTACGAGTATGCAAAATGCTTTGCCACTGAAAAATGTGGCTTTAAATTGCATGAAATCATCGCCACATTCCGCCAGTAATGAAATTAGTCCAAACAAAAGCAGCACCGAAGGGCAACGACTTTTATCGCTATCGAGGCCAATTAGATTAGGGGAACCAAAAAAACAGAAAAAAAGGAGGAAAAATAAAGGAAAAACCCTTCGCAACAGAGAGCCATAAAATGTAACTACCAAGTGGACCCTTTTCCCCCCATTTTCATTTCCAAGCAACAAATTTGTTTTTAGTGTCAACGAGCTGTACAAATTTTCTGTAAATATGTTTGAGTGTTCCATTCGCTTGGTCAACATGGTGCTGCAGATCTTCACGGCGGTAACTCTGATGGGGCATGCGACTGGGATTATCCCAGAACTCCGCCTACTTTGTCCCAAGTCTCTCACTCTCTCTTCACAGGTGGCTGATATTGTGGCGCTGGTCTACCTAATCATGGTGATCTACACGCCCTGTGTGCTGGGCAGCGAGTACTATATCTCCGTGATGCTATACGTCTACTTTCTGCCAGTCATCACCATTCAGACTGTGGTCTTCGTCCTGTGTCGTTTGTTCTGCTTCACCGTAGGACTTGATCCAATTGTGCGTATATGTAGGACATGCCCCTTGGACACTCCAACTGAATGATGCAACAACGAGTGTGTGTGTGTGTGTGTGTTTTACAGGCGATGACGTTTAATCTAGCCAGCGGCATCGTGTGCATTTCCACCTCTATGACCATGCTCGTGGCAATGTTTGATCACTGTGGCAACGAGTACCAGTACATGTTCTATGTGTCCGGAGGATGCGGCCTTCTGGCTGGAATTCTACATTTGGTGAATGCTCTCGTCTGCAACATCTACATGCCTCCCGAGGAATGGTACGAGTATTTATTTGATGGTCGTCGAGTGCATTCTTGACCCAATCGATTGACTAAACGATAATATGGCATTCCTTCCTCCGCCCCGCAGGACCTACACGAAGCCCTCGAAACGAGCCAGAAATAGGCTTGAAAGGGCAAGGTTGACATCGATATTGTGATGAGAACAAGAGGCAACAACAAATGGGAAATAAGTGGAAAAATCGTGGAAACGTCTCTTGAGTTTTTTTATACAAAATAATTTCTGGGAAAATGGTTTAAAATATGAGATTTCTATGCAGAGAAATTGCTTTTCCTAATATAAATATAACAATGGCGTAGAAAAATCTGAATTCGAGTATAAGCATGAAATTGCAACAGAAAATGTTGCGGAACGGAGAACAGACTGACAGATTGAGGGAGCGGTTAAAAGCAATAGAGAAATAGGTATATTTATAATTATTAAATGGGAATAAGTATTTAATTCACTTAATTTAGATGCAATATACTGATTAGCAAGTGTATACATTTCCATTTAAGCTGATTAAAATATAAACAGGCTCGAATTTAAATTGATTTGAGTGTTCATTAAATTTTACTGAATCTAAGACAAATTTAATTAAATTGAATGCTTTGAATATCCCGGAGCTTCCATTCTATTGTTCAATGCTTAAAGACTAAACAAAAACAGTTTGACTAAACAGCCAAAGCCAAGCCCAGTGCCATTCCAACCCCATTTTCAGTACCATGGCCCATTCCCATGTCCATTCCCATCCCCATCCCCTATTCAACATTGAGCTGGCTCTCTCTCTCTTTCTTTGTGCCGATTGTTTGTTATTGTTACTTATTATCGTTTCTCATTGCTTGCCGGCGAAGGGACGTCGTGGGGAGGAGGGAAGGGCACCGTCTGGCCAGCGGCTATAATCAATATTATTTGGCGACCTTTGCGTGTTAATGGCTTAAATGCTTAAGAGCTACTGTCGACAGCATTCACAATTCCATGTGAGAATTGCTTTCGGGCCTTGGGGGGGCTGCCATTCTTTTGCGCAGCAAGAAATCAATAAATTGCTTTTTGACAATCATCAAAGCAAGCAAAAGCTGCTTATAAGTACCACTCGGTATATTTGGATAATGAAAAAGTATATATGACACGTATGTATGTATGTATGTGTACTTATTCAGGACTCACACTTCAATCAATGCCGGAGAGTGACAAACAGGGAATTCTATTCGCGATGTGCACTGTGCATATTCATAAGCATAAAAGATTTCCATATTACGAGATGGCAATCAAAACGATAGACAGGAAGACAGACTCACTCCCCCCCACTCATCAGATGTAATCAGATGTGTGTGGCATGCAACTGCTGTCATGTAAGTCTTTGAGTTGATGCTGTGGATGATTCAGATGATGTTGCAACTGTCTGTCAATTGCTGTCGCTACTCCTACTGCTACACAGATTGCTGCCACTGATGATGTATGCAAAACTAGCTGCCAGGCAATGCAGTGATTCAAATATATACTATACGTATATACGTATATATATGTATATGTGCCACACTCCAATGGGATTGCTGTCGTGGTGCTCATTCTCATTTGATGCCTTTGATGCGACCGGGAAAAGTGCATAATGTGTCATAGCGATACGGCTCTTTACTGTGCACAAGATTTTATGGTCGAGAGAACGCAATGAAGCCATTTGCATTTAACTGATTTCCTCAATTAATTAAATACTTGCGGGCTTGATTAATTGCTCTACTCTCTACCTCTCATACCTGACGGATTGCCGCCAATTGGTCGCTTAATTAGAGTGCTGCAAATGTCGCAAATGGGCAAGCAGAACGGCTTGACAGGGATTTTTAGGAGACTTATCACGGAAATAACAAAACCTTCGTCATATGTCTGAGAGGGGGTGGCGGTGGCAGCCTTGACTGCTACAAAATGGAGAACGGGCTAGTGGATGGCGGCAACAACAATGACAGTTCACAAATGTAAAAATATTTGGCACTCTAAAGTGCAGCCAGACAAATGCGACAAACGTTGAAGTGTCATTTACTAGGAGTGCCATACAACAGGAGGAGGAGGAACTAAAACAAACATAGTACCCACACAACATGGACAGGAGGACATAGTCGATATATAGACCCTAGAGATACCTGATCACTGGATTCACCAAGTAAATAAATTGAATCTGTGCTTGCGTTGTTGGGAACTTTGTCCCATTGCGGTGGAGCTGTATTAATGAGTAACCCACACTAAGCCTTTCGATGGCGCGATATACCCTTTAGCTCTACATATAAAGGGTATACAAAAGCAGTAACAGAAACAACAACAAGTCAAGCGCGTGTCTGTTGAAAAATGGCGGCAAATGCTGGCAAACGAAGGCGAAACGCAGACAGGCAGGGCAGGGCAGGGCAGCCATACGTCGCGTCGTCGGTGCAAACAAAGAGTCCGGAATGGAGCTCACACTGATGAGCAGGCAATCGGAATGAAACCCAAGCACTAGAAGAGTCGTCAGAGAAAGAGAACGGGGGAGCATAGTGGCAGCGGGCAGGGAGACAGAGATAGAGTGACTGACAACGAGCTTCAGAGCTTCAGAGGAGAAGTAGGGAGCATCAACGTTGGCATCGCATCGCGTTGGCTGGCGTTGACGACAATTGCACAATTCATAATAGCTAACATGGCACTGCCACACTAGCGAACACTGAGATACAATGGTATCTGGGCACATACGCACTGAGATACAAACACTCACACACACACCCCCAGCCACACATGGAAGTGCTAACAATTTAGAGAGAGAGAGAGTAGAAGCTTCTATGAGATCGCCATTAAACAGGAGAAATTGTTGCACACTCCGTGCCATACGAGGGTACACTGCAAGAGAGCTCCACAGAGGTAGAGGATTGATATGGCAGAATATTAACATGTTCACGCTGCACGACTACTTTTCACAGAAGTGTAGTCGAAAAAAATGCTAAAGGAATGCCAGAGTCTATTCAATATTTTGAAAATTTAATCTCAAGAGACTTCAGCAGCGTATGCCAATCGCAAAGTACATACTTGGCATACTCAAAGGTCCATTGAGTCGCAAATCCGAAAGTGGCAGCTTTGTGGAGGAATCTTTCGTGCTTGTTCCGGCAGAAAAAAAAGATCTTCTTAAGCTGAAAGGAGAGCAAACCCCTCTAATGCATTAATTAAACAAATAAAAGTTAAGTTTGCAATGTGGATGCAGGCAAAAGAGTGCCTTTGAGACAGCCCTACGTATCGTGTAGTAGACCCCAATTAATCCGTTTACGCGCTTTGCTGTAAACAGCAGTCAAAGAGAGCATTGGTCCAACATCCAATTAGCTAATGAAGATGGGAAATCTGAGGAGTTGCTACGCTAAACAAACCACATTTTGTTTTCCTCAGTGTAGAGGCTGCTGGTATGCTGGTTACCATTTGAGATGCAATGGAATGGCATGGGATGGGCATGGGCATGGGGCATCGGGCACTTGTTTATTCCGTTCACTGTTCACAACACTTTCACTAATATGCGGGGGTGCCGAGTGGCTGCCTGGAGATTGCAAATTGCATTCTTCATGGAATGAAAGAGCAACCAGTGGTGGTGGCAGTGCCAAGAGTCAGGAACGAGGCCAATGCCCAAGACACACACACACAGTGCTGTAGCCATTCGAATAGGGCCAAGTGCTGTAAATGATTGCGGTAATAAGCATTATGCACAGACTGGCATGTCCGTCACTCTGTCAGTGAGTCAGTCCAGTCCAGTCCAGTCTAGTTCAGTTCAGTCTGGCAGCACGCTCTGACAGGCCTTCCAACTCGCTCTCGTCAGCGTCAAATTAGGTTAGACACTAGACATTAGATGTCTGTCCTTTGCTACAGCCGCCTTTGACCCGCCAGCCACCACAGGACCAGTGACAGGAACTCAACTATTTGCTTTGATGGCAGCACGGACTGCCACTCGGACGGCTCCGTTTTGATTAAAATCGTAAATTGTTTTGGTCAGCGAAAGGTAAATAAATTGGAAGAAAGATTATCTTTGTTTGCATTCCAGATGTTGCTCGTTTCTCCGCTTTGATGTGGACCCCTGTGGACGGACCCCTTTCGTGTTCTGGTGGCTAACTTGGCCAAGATTAAGAAAGCCAATGAGCTGTCGAACATAAAGAATCCCGAGAGCACTCATCCAAGTGTGTCTAATGTGTCCTTAAAGGGTTTAGGGCGGAGGTCAGGCGGCGGAGGCTGGCCTCTTACGATGATTGATATCGGTGAGTGAGTGGCCTTTAGAAAAGTGTTTTGCAGTCCTTAGAAATATTGCAATTGGCTAAAGGAAAAGTTATAATTAATAAGGGGAGCAGCAAGCTACTCTCTGCGTGCCCTAAGCTCTCCCACTTTTATTCCTTCTGTAGTTGCTGGAAATTAGTTAAGTAAAGTTGGCAGCACAACAATTGGCACCCCTTCCGACGATGAGGGAAGGACTGCAGAGGGCAGAGGAGTGGCTCTGGGCCAGGTCAGCGCTTGGCCAGCAAATAAAAAGGCCATAAAAGGATCGTAAAAAGGGAGCATTAAAACAGAGGCAAACCAGTAGCAACAGCAGGGAGCAACTCAAATATTAGCTTAAATGCAAGACACATTAAATTACTCGTAGCAACAATAAAACGTACGAATAAAACAGATTTTCTGCTAGTAAAACAATAAAAAAAGCAACAGCATTGACAGGCACAGCATGGGGGATGGAAATGGAAATGGCAAGGACCTACTGCCTAAATCATCTCCGAACTGGATATCCCGTAGTAAATGTATGTGCGAAATGGGGAAGGAACCATCCACAAATTGAGCAAAGATGAGTTTTTAATTCGATTTCAGAGCAGGCAGAAAATGGGCGAAAGGACCCCGATGGAGGGACGTGCAGTGCAGATTGTGCACGTGTTGGGCCTCGTCCCTTCCAATAAGTCGATGGTCCCAATGTCAGGGAAATATGTCAGAGTAAATTTAGAATCAACGAAATTGTCAAGTGGCACGCGTTGAAATATGATAGCGGTAATGGCAAGAAATTCTCGTCCAAAATTCTATTTCACAGCGCTCCAGAGAGAGTGAGAGCGAGAGAGAGAGACAAGTGGCATCATAAACATATCGCCGGCCTCCCGGTTTCGGCCTCGTCCTCATTTTGAATTCTTGGGCTCTATGTCCGGGTTCTGCTGCTGGTCCCTGTGCCCTGTCCCATGTCCAAAATTCAATTTAATAAAAAGGGAAAACTGGTAGTGAGAGTGAGCAGAAAGGACAGGCAAAACGAGCGACTGAAACCGATACACACACATAAGATTGTCCCTTCTGTTATACCCTGTA